CAGGGCGAGGCCCCGTCCCGGCGACGCGTTCTCATTCTCGTTCCCGAGCCCACGTGCTTTCGAGGGCGGCGGGGTGGGCGGAGGGGGCCTGTGACCCCTTAGGGCGCGTAGAAGCCCCGCCTGGAGCTCCGCGTGGACGAAGGCCGACTCGAAACGCTGGTGGGGCCGCTGCCGGCCCGGGGCCTGGCTGCCCCTGGGCAGGCGCGAGCCTGTTTCCCGTCTGCAAAATGCGGACCTCGGGGCCCGCACCCAGGCCCCGCAGCGTGTCCCGCGGCGTCCCGGGGCGCTCGGCGTTCTTACTGGACGGTAGTTGCCATTCATCTCACGCTCGCCGTGCTCCCTCGAGGGGAGGACCCTTACCCCGTTCTCAGAAAGAAACCGGCTCCGAGAGACCAGACGGTTGTGTAGGCAGGTGGATGCTGGGTACAACCGGGCTTTGTTATACTATTTTCTCTTCTTCTGTGTATATTTGAAATTCTGCTTACAAAGCTCTTTTTATTCAAAGTGGCTTGTCCATTGAGTAGCAGAAATAATCCTCGAAGCCACATCTGGGTTAACTCCAGATTTACACTGTTCCGCGGGAGGCTGGGAGCGATTACTGGTACACATTCCGCAGGCTGGGAAAATGATGAAGTTGAATAGAGCCCCCCGAATCGCCTCCCAGGGCTGCCAACCTGAACGGCCATTTCTCCTTCGGTACTGAAAGTCCTGTTAGCACCTCAGAACAATGCTACCAGAGAACGGGTCTCATCCCAGGTTATAGAGGAAACCGTCCTTCCAGCCCCTGTCTCACAAACTGAAACTAAGACACAGGTAAAATCACAGACTAAACTGAGCAGCTCATCTGGTGGGTGGGACACCCGGGCGCCCACTCATGTACTCTGGGCCGGTTTCCAGCATGTCTTCCTCGAGGTCCCCTTTCCACGAGGTGAGACACCCCAGGTGCCAGTGGATAATGGGCCTCTTCCCAGGTAATGTGTCTGCATTTCCACTGGCCCCTCTGGACTTGCTCTCAAGAACTGCCAGTGGCCTCATATAAGAAACACTAACCTAAAATATTAATTCCTACCTACGTTCAGACTAAGTATAAAAGTGTCAACTCCACAGTCACTGCCATATCTAAAATGTCAAATTAGTCATCACAAAGGCATAGTCTCTACATTAAAGATTAAACACAGCATCACAGAGTCCAGGGCATTTGTCCAAAAACACACCAAAGGTAAAATCAGAATAGAAAATGCAACAAATTGTAGGATAAATATCCGCAAAGTTTTCTTAAGAGGTTTGGCGACGCCCAAGCCTCCGCGTACCCACCGAGTGCGCACTGGGAGCGTGAAGCCTGCAGCTCATTCTGAGAGCTCACTTCCCCCGTAAGCTTTGTCCGAGGAGAAAGCGCTCTATGCATTTCACCTTTTCCATAAACACTGACTGTGTCCATCTGCACTCACACCCCAATCCTTGGAAAACTCCCTCTGCAAAACCAAATCCGGTCTTTCCCCCCGTTTTAGGAGGTCTAGTTGACAGCCAGCACTGTCAAATTCGGCTCTCCAACGGAAACATCTGGATTTTTAGGTCCAACAGGTGAGGCAAAGAGTCGGTCAAGAGGAGATAAGGTTCGAACGACACCTGGGCCCTCCGACCAAGGCTGCCTCTGCCCTCGAGGGTCAGATCTGGCTCATTAAACCCCACACTGTAAGGCCAGACCCAGTACAACCTTCCCGAAGGACAATTTGGCCAAGCCCATCGAAATTTTTTCAATGGGCGGGACTTTGATTTATCAATTCCACTTTCAGGAGTTTCTCCTAAAATAATCTGGCAGGTGCACAAGGCCAGACAACACCTTCCCCCCCAGAACGGCCAAAATTGTCAGGATCCCAAATACTCCCCACCGCCCTAGGGCCTGGCTAATTAAAATTACATCAGGTAGCCCTGGCCGGTGTAGCTCAGTGGTTAGAGCATCGGCCTGTCCACCAAAGGGTCTTGGTTTCGATTCCCGGTCAAGGGGATGTACCTGGGTTGCAGGTTCGATCCCCACCCCCTTCCACTCTCTCTAAAGAAATCAATGGAAAAAATTTCGTCCGGTAAAGATAAATAACCAAAAAAATCACATGCATGTCGATCTATTGGTCTTTTCCCTTGCACAAGGGGTTGAGGGCTGTTTTGGATTTCTAAGGAAGAAATCACACTGTACACTGTGGCCTTCACCACCATCATTCACCACGAACGTTACCATGTTCCCTGAGCAACGTCAAGGTCAACCCCACACAGTCACCTGTTGTTTTATCTCAGAAATAGAGAAGCCATTATTAAATTACTGCAGAAAGGTCACTGTTCCGGGGACCTGAATCAAAGGCCAACAAGCTCTGCATTATGTAACGTGATACTGAGCTAAGGCCTCTGCAAACAAGCCATGCAGGCGGGACCCAGGCTCGGGAGACGGGAGAGACCGGAGGGAGCCGGCCACTAGATGTCATCCTCCAGACGGCTGCTTAGTGTTGCTAACCCCAGTCAGCAAAGGAAGTCAAGTGGTCTAGACAAATAATTCCTTAAATGGCATTAATTTAAAATAATCTGACCTTTGATTGGGGTCCTGCACAGTTAGCTGACAAAAATAAAAATGAAAACCCACTGGAGACCGGCCATCAGCCCCCAGTGGCAAGTCGCTGCCTAAAATACAACATTTTAATGACTGTGCTGAGCCTGACACCAGAGGGAAAAGGTCCCAATAAGCCAGAAACGGGACCCGCAGAGTCAGCACCCGGGGCCCGAAAGTCACGGCAGCAATCCTAAATCAGGGCTGCCTCCCTCTAAACTTCTCTTAATGCACAAACAGCATAAAAGAGCTGCCTTGTTTTGTTTTATTCTGTTTTTATGAGGAGTTCGAAGTTCCTGATCACCTTTGGGATTGCATTTTACCGACTGTGCAGTTTTGTCACAATCCACTCGTGGGGAGGGGCCCGGGAGGAACCGCTGATGAAGCAGCACAGATCTCGGGGCAAACGGGCGGCTGAAGGACCCTGGCCTGAGCCATTGCTGGGCTGGTGTTGGGTGTGTGCTTTAAACGTTTAATTGCACTAGTTGCCAACATTTTATTCCTCCTTGATAATTCATTTTCTAACATGTGGAATCTTGAGGGTACATTATTTATGAATTTTGTTATTTGTACAGTTACGTGTCTGCTACGGTCAGTGGGGGCTGAGACGCTCTGCTCTGAACTGTTCAAATAATGATGCGATTCCCTGTCTTCAAGGCGCTGTTTCCACTGTCTCTTCTCTGACCCTCTGACTCCCACAGATGCCTCAGGCAGAGGCTGGTCCCTTCCGCTTCCTCCAGGAAGCACTCCCTGACAACATGTCGCCACCCTAATTCACAAAGATGGATTTGGGTGCCCCTCCGGTGCTCCCCAGCCTCGGTGGCCGCCCCGTAACAGGCCTGCACATGCTCCCCCGTCCCCTATGTTCGTTACCAGCTGTACTGAGCTCCTGGAGGGTTAAGACGCCGTCTCAGTTTCATCAGCGCCCAGCATAGTGCTCGTGCATTCAACAAATATTTCTTGAGCACCTACTGTGTGCCTGACACTATTACAGACTGTTCCTGCTCTATGGAGCCGTCATTCTGATGCGTGACAGATGACAAGGGAACTGCTAAGTGTAACTTGGACCATGATCAGTGCTGACAAAGACACCCACGGGGTGCTGTGGGGGAAGGAGGCACACAGGCATCACTGGGCTAGGAGGCGGGAAAGTCCTCGCTGAGACGAGACCTTGACTGAGATTCCAGGGAGGCAAAGCTCTGAGCTTAGGAAGAGCAGGAGAAGCAAGTTCGAGGCAGAACTGAAAACTGCAAAAATCGTGGGGCTGCTAAGAATCTGTGGGGCTCAGACACCTGAAGAGGAAGGCGGGAGCCCAGGGCGGCCGGCACCGAGGCCATGCAGGGCCCCGGGCACGAGGTGAGGATGGCACGCGAGGTGCGGCGGGGAGACTGCATGCTCACGCCTGACGGACGCTCCCCGGGGCGGCGGCCCGGACCCCTCTCCCCAGGGCTGGCTCCTCTGCCCCTTTAGCAGAGTGCGGGAAGCTGGGCCGAGCCGGCGGCCGCCCGCAGCCCCCCGGGCCCCGGTACCTACGTGCAGTTTGTTGAGCAGCACGGCGTCCGTGGTGCTGTTGGCGCCCGGCTTGGCCGCCTTCCAGAACTGCTTCTGCGCGGAGTAGCGGTTCATGGGGCAGAGCTTGAAGAGGCAGTCTAGGGGCAAGGCAGAGAGGCGGTCACGAGAGGGAGGTGCTCCGGCCCGGAACCCTCCCCCCGAGGCACAGGTGTCAGGGACTCCGTGTGGGTATCAACAACAGGCCCAGGCAACTCTCAGCACCGTAAGGTGAGGCTACAGAGGGGGAAACTGAGGCCGGGGAGGAGCAGGGCTGGGGCTCAGCGTCCAACCCAGGCTCTCGCTGCTGCCCACAGCTTCTCCTCTCCTTTTAACGGGAGAGTCAGAGGACCGACACCCCCGCTGCACATCAGCACACAGCAGGAAACCTACTAAAAACAGGCTGTTCTCCCCACCTCGTGTGGAAGCCACAGGCCATTGTCATTTACGGTATCAGTGGCAACTTAGTGCTGACGCCGAGAGACACATTTTCCCACCGTTTGATCTAAGTGAACTCTCCACCACCCTGAGAACAAGCACACACAACCCTGAGATGACTGGCCAGCGTCAAATGTCGTGTCTTAGACACGAAGCCAAGGGGGGCACCTGGGCTGGGCAAGGGGGCTTCCTCGACAATCACGACTTTAAAAAGCATTCAGAACACTTCAGTCACCAGTATTAGCATCAGACACAGGACCTCCTGTACGGACCACGTGAAATAACAACTTTGAATCTGGTCAATAACAAGACACTGAGTGAGAGACGGCCTAGTCCTTCCCTCCCCCGCGCGTCATGTGCTGACCGCCGCAGGGTACACAGTCCAAAACCAAACTGGGTTTAAGCTGATTTTGGGAACCTCCAGGCTGGATCCACGATGCCAAGGGACTCGCATGCCACGGAAAGTTCCACTCTGACGGCTCACGGTGGAGTCAAGCACCCACCTAACACATCGATGGGCCACAACACGAGCTGCAAACTTCAGATGGCCTGACGATCACCCAGGGGAAGAGCTGAATTTAAGCACCGTGGGCGCAGCCACAGCCTTGCTGCCACTCCCACGCCCGCTGCGTTCCTGGGGCAACAGTTACAGTGGACTAAGCGCGTGTACAACCAAGCGTCTGTGTACACACAAGGGATGCCGAGGCGCTCGTGCCAGGCCCGCGTTAGCCTTGCTGATTTCGCCCTGGCTTCCCAGTTGCTTAGCAACTGATGCAAAGTGAAAAAATTAAATCAAGCAACTCAAACGCGATGGTAAAGCCACCTTCGGAAACCCTGCAGCTCGGCAGCTCCGAGCCGCCCTTTGCCCCTCGGTGGGCACAGCCGGGCGAGAGGGAGGTTCTGCTGGAGCCCCTCCCGTGCTCGGTGCAGAAGTGGGCAGCTCAGGGCCGGCGGAGCGCGTGCAGGCCGCCCGCCGGGAGGGGTGTGCGAGCACGGAGTGCGTGTCAGCGCGCACACGCACGCACGCACGCACATGCACACACGCACGCGCGCACACAGTTTATCTCCCTCCGAAGAAACGCCACGAAGCCCGCCCCGCGGCCAGCGCTGCTCCAGGCCTTGCAGAGCGCGCTGGGCTGGGCTGGGCTGGGCTGAGCTTTCAAAAAACTACCCGGCGGTTCCTGAGCCGCCGCAGAGCCACGCCGGCCGCGCGGGAGTCGGCGGAGCACAGGGTTCGGGGCGGCCGCCCAGGGGCTGTGGACCGTGACGGTCCGTGGCTCAAACGCCGGCCCGGGGGGTGGCTGCCGGGAGGACGCCGAGCGC